AATAGTTTTCTACATCCATAACGGAGAAAGCAAGACATTAAGAGCTTAGATTGCAACAAAACAGACTGAGGTTGGATGTTAAGAAAAACTACCAGTACAGAGCAAAAAACATTGGAATATATTTTCAGAAGAGCACAGGCAGTTTCTGTCTTGAGGTCTTTTAGAAGAAGGCAGAAAAATTTGTGCCAACAATAATGCATGTATAATAGATCCTGCCTTCTAGCCAGGAGTGGGATTAGGTAATTTTTGCAGTCCTTCCTGGCTACTTCTGGATATGTTTCCATTCTGGTGGGTCTGACTGCAATAGAGCTTGGTTTTGTCACACCTGTGTGCATTTTTGTGAGTCTGATGGGTAGAGGGTGTGTCCACAAACTTTCTGTGCTTGTGCAGATCAGGGCTCCAGTGCATGTTCAGTTAGGAGAATTTTTTGCCTGACATCAGAGATGACTTAAATTATTCTTCCCAGGACACAATCATGCTCAGAGTATGTGTAGTTCCATGGGAAGTAGTCCTTGGTTTGCAGATCTCTCTAGATTTCCCATCTGCTAAATTGTTTCAATCTGACTTACCGAGTGTATTCCTTTATAATGCCCACACAAGTGCTTCACTCAGGAAGAATTTTCATCTAAGGTCAATTAATTTTGCCAAACTCATAACTTCTGGGTCATTTCTTGTGCTTCATACAATACCTTTGTCTATCGTGTTTACTGTATGCTAAACTGCTTGTGTGTGTTGTTTTTTCAGTTCTGTTCTATTTTGAGTTCAGCTGTGATTGATTTATTCCAGGCCAAATTTAAGAAATTTTCACACACAAACTACTTCCTATCTTAAAAGAAAAACCACCCCAATCCCCCAGTATTTTCAGTTTGTCTCAGGTTGGGTTTGACTCCCCAGTAATAGATGTGGTACAGTAACACAGTAATCTTATAGTTTAATTTATAATAGAGATCTTGAACACTCAGTGTTACTGATCTCTTATCCATTTCTTCTAATTTTCCAAGGTTCTTTGACTGCTTTGCTATGTCACAATGAAATAATCTAGACATTTTTGGAAGCCAGAAGAGGTTTATCTATTTTTTTTTTTTAATATTTAGATGGTCTTATCAGTGACTTCATTCTGACTTCAAAAGGACGCTTCATAATTCATAATAAAAGCTCCACAAGGTTTTATCAACTAGAACAAATACACTTTTCCTTTGGTCTCTTCCTAGTATCCACATGAAAACTGCACTCACAAAATCTAAGGGATGAGCCTTTCAGAATATATTTGCCATGATTCTAACAACATTGGGACTATTTTTAAGATAACTACTGACTTTTATAATACTGTAAGTGGTGCTGGACAGTTGAGATGGCATTGCAATCCTGGAGCTGGACCCTGCTTGCAGAGCCACCTTTCAAACTGAAAACATTGTAGAAAACAAATCCCTCTTTTTCTGTATCATTCCAGTTTTTTCCTTTGAAACTGAACAAAAATCAGACTGAACTTTGCATCTTCATTTTATTGTCTGTATTTCCCCCCAGTTCATTTATTGGCTGGCTTGCATATGGTGTATGTGTTTAAAGAAATTATAGATGTTTTCAAAGAACATGCCTTATGTCTCAGGTATACCCAATGGACCAGGAAGCTGAAAACCACTTCAGACCATGTGAAACCCCCTGTGCCCACACATGTCCAACGGCTTAATCTTCTGACATGACAGTGTAAGGCTCTCACTTGCCTGGAAGGTGAGCAGTGTGTGGGAGGAAGGCCCTCCAGGGACTTGCTTTTTCATGATAATGAAGTCAACAAGGTCGTTAAATTGAAAACCTGTTCTTTGCTCCTTTAATGTTTCTCCCTGTGTTTCCATGCATCATGGCTTTTCAGTATGCACCCTGCCTCTTCCATCTTGAAGTGAGCTGGTGAAGTACATCCAAATAATTTATATAGCTCTGATTGCCTGGGCAAATCTTTAATTAACATGCTTATGCTTACACAAAAAGTGTAGCTTCATGTTTTGAAATATAGTATGTCTGGTTTATAAGAATAGGACTGTTCAGATTTCAAGGGTTCTCTTCTCAAAGTTAGTCCCTCTGATAAATTGAATAAATTATGTTTTTGTTGGCTGTCTTTGTTACCTCCATCACTGTGTTTCCAATTTATCAACATAGTTTTGAGAAACTGTTAGAATATGTTGCACTCCTAAGCACCATGGGGAGAAAAAATATTTGGTACTGTTATTGTGTTTGATTATGTTATGCACATCCAAAAGACTAAAATGAAACGTCACCTTTAATTCTCCCCTTACAGTAGACAATATCACCCTTTCTTCTCTCTTTCCAAAAACAGCTTGGAAGGTAATTATTCATTTTCATTTTAAGTCAGCCATACAGAGTAGAAGCAAGTGTGCATAAGGGACAGGGTAGAAGTAATGGGAGCCTGAAGATCTGAGCTCTATTTCTGGATCTGCCTTTAGCTCTTTGCAGGCTTGAGCAAAACCATTTGACCCCTGGTCTCTAGTCTCCCTACTCATGAAATAGGAAGAATACTGCCTTCCTACAGATGTCTCTAATAATTTGCCAGAATCATGTCTTTTCTAATCACCTGTGTTTAATATCTCCTAGGGTCTTGCAAAGTCAGTGAAGGCTGAAGCAGCAAATTTTGCATGAAAATAAAATGCTTTTGGACTGTTAAGGCTTGAAGACTTCAAGGAGCTTCTGAAAGGGCTAACCCAAGCCAGAAGAATGGGTCAGAAAGACAGTAATTCTGTTCAATTCTGCTAAAAACTGATAAATTATCTATCCCAGCTCATCAGGAAAGGGAATTTAGTGTGTTTTGAACAAGAAGCTGAACCAGGCCCTCAGCACACATCCTGGAACTGGTGGGGGTCCAGCTGTGCCCAATTTGGCTGTGCACACACACCTGAGGATGATCACTCAGATTAACAGATGGTGGAGCCTCAGAGAAGTGCCTGGTATCTGGGATGTGCTGCAGTTGCTGGCTGCTTTCTTGGCAGAAGAATGAGTTTGGAGCAGTTTGTAGCCCTACAGAGAGTTGAGAGCAGAGAGCAAGCTTCTTACTGTTACTCTGTCAGGCTAAGCAGAAGTTTCCTGAGGGCTGACTGAACAAAATGGTTGAGTGGCTGAACATACTCGGGTGAGTTGTTTGGAGCTATGTGTTTTCTTGGGGAGTGGGAGATGGGAAGGGAAGAATATCTTGATGAGGATGAGGAGAAACTGAAGGGAAGGGTGCTAGGGCTGGGGATAGAGGGCCCTGTTATGTCTCAGCTCCAGGCACTGAGGGCTTTTTGTAAACAAACAGTTGCTGTTTCTGAGGTGGCTTGGTGGCTCAGTGCTGCTGGACCAGACTTTCTGAGCTCCCTTGGAGCCCATAGAGTGCTGATCCGTTGCCTGCTTCAACCCTGGGTCTGGGACATCCCAAAGGCAGCTGTGGGGCAACCCCAGGGAGGCCATGCTGAGCTGTGGTGGAGACAGCACCTCTGCCTCCTTGTGTGATTTGTTCTAGTGATTAATGACAATGGCTGTTTAAAAACCTGGTGCCTCATTTGCAGTCTAAACTTGTCTGGCTACAGGCTCCAGCCAGGGGCTATTTATCTCTGTGTGCAGACTCTGGAGGTGGGCACCGTGGGGGAAGGGGTAGGTGCTCACTCACGGGTGGAGGATGAACCTAGCCGTTTTCCCAGCATCTTGTAGGAATCGTTTTCCAGCTGTGGAATCTCACAGGGATCGTGTTGCCACTGAGGGGAAGAGGTCTCTGCCTTTGCAGAGCCCCAGGGGGGAGCCCCAGGCTCCAAGGTTCCCCCAGCAAGACCTGCTTTTGGTGGTAAATCAGGGCTGTCTTTGGATGGGGGTACTGTGAGCTTGCAGGATATGTGCATAAAAACTTAGAATCACAGTTGTGTCATCTTAAAAATGAAATCCTTCCTGTGGTGTTTTGTTCAGTTGCTTGTCCAGGGAGTTGCAATGCCCCAGGTTCCTCTGCAACTGAAAAGAGGACACTGAAAGTCCAGCAAATGGGGTCTGTGGCACCAAATGGGGGATATGCAAGGGCTTTAAACTCAAATGCAGCTGCTGTAGGGAGAGGGAGTCTTGATGCTGGCTTCCTTCTCAGGGTACTGCCTTTGCAAAACACCCACATCCTTCCACGACTGTAAAAACATTCCTTCTGTCTGTGGCTGGGGTTGACTGTGCAATTCTCCATACTCGGGACCATCCTGGGTGCTTATGTGTGATGCCAAAACGAACAGGATTCACATACTGGAACCGGGATTGCATTTTCACTGATAGCTTTGTGAATCAGGCATCTTAAAAATGATTTATTTCCTACTTTATCTGTGTAAATTCTGCAGTGGAAACATGACAGCAGGCACCAGCTTTTGGGTGCTTGGCGTGTGCTGCTGAAGTGCAGTGGGTTCCCCTGGAACTGGCTCTCGGTTAACCAGCCTGGAGATCTGTGTTAGGGACGGTTTGGGTTTGGGATCGGGGCTTGGGTTCCCCGGGTGTACTCCCTGCCTGTGTCCAGACTGCCTGCTGATGGGGTAGCTGGAGCCCGGGCTGCTGCTGAGCCTGGGCTGCCTGTGGTGATGCCGCCAGCCCTGCCTGGCTGCAAATGCTCCCCTGGCGGGTTTCCTGCCCCTACGGGACCTCGGCTCGCCCCGGGGTGCCCAGCCGCCCTCACCGACGGGGAAGCTCCTTCGCAGCGGGGTATGCTGCGAGGCCTGGCAAGGGTTAACGCCGAAACCCCACGCCCCCTTTGACGGAGTCGGGCCAACCTCGCCAAATTTGAAAAGGCATCCGGGGCTGAGTGTGCGCCCTGGGCGCAAGAGCCGCGCTGGCCCCGGACCCCCTGCACGGGCAGCAGCCGCCGCCGCCTCGGGGCACCTCCGCGCCGTGGGATCCCGCCGTGACCCCGGCCGGGGGAGGCACGGTGGGGCCCCGCGCCTGCCGCGCCGTGTAAGAGGAAAAGCGGGGGGCGGGAGGAAAACCCTCCTCTTGCAAAAATGCAGTTCGCTCTTTTCTTGTCCTGGTGCTGCTGCCTGCATGGATGTGCGCTAGGGACTGGCTTCCTCTATCAATTCCCGGCATCAACCCTGCAGCACAACTACCCAGAGCAGAGCTCGGGCTCGCCGGGCAGCGGCTTCGCCAGTCGCCGGTGAGTAAGACAGGGTCCGCCTCCCCGGCGAGGAGGCTGGGCCCCGCCAGTGGCTCCTGGGGGGAGCGACGGGCACGGCACAACCGCGGGCAGCGGTCCCCGAGGAGGCTGCAAGGGGCTTTCTACGCTGCTGCCCCTCGGGGAGCCGGGCAGGCTGCCCCATCCTAAATGAAGAGGGGGATGCTCCCTACCTGCCCGCAGCAGTGTCCCTCCTGGGGCAGGGAGAACTTGAGATTCGAGGACCTGGTCTTTGGTAAATTAAACCCGCATACTCTCCTCTTCTTGCGTTCCCCAGCCCGTCGAGGAGGGGAAGTTGGCTCTGCCTGGTCCACGGGGAGGTGTGTCCCGCGCAGTCCGCAGCCGGAGCATAAAACCTCCTGAACTGGGACTCTGGTGATGCCGGCAGAGGGAACTGTTACAGCCTTCGGCTGCGAGGAAAAACTTGTTCAGCTCAACAAAGGAGAAACCTTACTTACAGATCTCTATTTGAGAACTGCAGCTTTCAAATAGCTGTTTAAAACTCCCACTCTTTTCTTCTCCTCTGCCTGCCTCCCAACCTATTTCTTATGAACTTACAGTAAATCAAAACTGATTTACATTATCTTACTGCTTCAGTAGAGCAAACAATTTAGGCTTTTCCCCCTCCCCTCTGTTTTCTCTGGGTATTTCTCTAGAGGTGAAACAGCTGTTCCCATGAATGAGTCTCACTGTATAAAGCAAGAGAGTAGCTTAACCTGATTCCAGTTATTCTTGAATTTCGCTTTTTTTTTTTTTTTCTCCTGCAATTCCCTTAAATGAGGACTGGGGAATTTAATATTCAGAGCTCGTCCATCCTGTCTCTACCTCTTTTCCTCCTCCCCTTGCTAATACCTAGTATGCATGGGCTGTGCTGCTGTGGAGAAGGGCTTAGGCTAGCAACAATTCTTTGGGCTAGGGGCTGGGATAAGGCATCTACACAGCAGATTTACATAAGCATGTCACCCAAGTGCAAGAGTGGGTGCTAGCCTTATGCCTTGCACGATTCTCACATATGGTGCATATTTCATCCCCAAGTGGGGGTGGTTTTGTTTGCTGGCCTGTCAAGCAAGTCTCAGTCTGTAGGGGGTGTGATGTTAAACTACAGTAACTGTCAAAGGGTTTGAAACAGCAGAAAATTATAGGAGAGTAATGGGATAAACCTATCCCAGCTGGATCTGTTCCAAGGTACCCCCTTCCCCAAGCGTGAGCTGCAATGAGAACCACATGTCATTTGTCTTATATATCTATTAGCCTGCAGATCTTTGTTCAGAGCTACCACGCTTACATGAGTGCAGACTGTATCTGCTCACCAAGACCTTTCCCAATTCACACTCTTGCATGATTTTTCCCATGTTTCAGTTGTTTGGATAACTCATGCTTTGTCAGGGCAACGCGTCCCTCTCCAAGTCTATAAAGTGTTGTATAAAACCATCTAAGGCTGGTTTAAACAATGATGTTTGGTAAATTAGTAGGGTGGTGTTTGTGGGTTGTGTGGGGGGGTTTTTTTTGGTGGTGGTGGTTTTTATTGGGGTTTTTTTGGTTTTTTTTTTTGTCTAGTGGAACTTTGCTATATGAGAGTATCCCATTCTTGGTCAAAGCAGAGGGGGAAATAAGTTGAAGGGAGGTAAAAGGTCACTGGTGGATGTTTTGAAATAAAAATTCAAGTCAAATATCACACGTTGAAGCAACATTTTTGTTTTAATTTCCCCTTGGGTGGTGGAGTTTTGCTGTTGGCAAATGTCTAACAGCTTCACTTTCTGATGGGAAAATCTGTGTGGGAAAACTTTATCCAGCCACAATGTTGGACCTTTGGGGGGATCCTCCTGCAGGGTGCAGCTTCAGGTTGGGATAGCTGTACTTTTCTGGATTTCATATGGTGCTGTGTAAGAATGAGGCTTTTTGCTCTTAAGTCTAACATTGATGTGGGTGTGAAGCCTTTTTTTTTTTTTTTTTTTTTTTTCTTCTCCCAGATGACTGAATCTGACTGGTATAAGCTTTTGTTAAAACTCTTCAACATTACTTTTGCCATTTAAACAGAAGCTCTTGGTAGCACCTGCATTTTTTCGAGGCAATAGCAGCCCCATCACTGCAGAGTTTGCTGGCCTCTGCTCTGAAGAGGCTTTGGAGAGCACAAGGGTAGGTGGTTAATAGCACTACATGGCAATTCTCTCACTTTTTCTTCTGCAACCTTCCCAGTAAGTGCTTTTTCCAGTGACTTCTGGAACTTTTCATGGGTATTATCAGACAAATAGAAGCAGGCCAGAACCTTGAAGGCTGCTGCAGCAGCCCTAGATTTTGGTACATTGAAGCATATTGGTGACCTATAGCTGACATGTTTTCTTGACACAAGACATGTTTCTGTAGTTGTCTTTCTGTCCTTGATCAGCAAGAGGAGACATGATTGAACTGACTGGGAATCTGCAATCAATTTATAAATAACTTGTAATAAAAATTGCATTTCTCCAAGGGGGAAAAAAAAAAAAGTTGTTGGAATCTTTTGTCTTCCACGTAGAAAACCATTCTAAATTTAATAGCTGATTTAGTCCTTGGTATCCAGGTTGCAGGCTGTATCAGAGATGGACTTCTGAGGCTGTGAAGACTGCTGAACACTTTCTTCCAGAAAACTAAGGCCCTGAGCAGTGTAAAAAGCTTGGGGGGTGTGAAGAGAAATTTGGAGGGGAAAAAAAATTACTGTCATCCTAAAAAATGAAATTGTTGAGTAATTGTTTTGGTGGAATGTTGCTTGCTTTGTTTCTTTCACTAAAAGGAAAATTCTAGCTTCTGGTTGGCTTTAGTGACAGATTTTGGTTATTAGACCAAAGACATTTGCAGTCTATCTTTGCATGTGCTTGAATTGCTTTGAATTCTGTAGGGGCTGTGCAAGTAATAATGACTGAAATGCAAGTAGCAGTGCTTGTTGGCATTGTAGATATTGTAGCAGTTTTGTACAAAATGCTCATTCAGTGCTTGCATTTCTAACTTGCTACTGTGTTAAGGCAATGAGAATGGGAAGTGGGTCTTGCCCAAAGCATAAGAATGGAAGGGCTGTCTGCCAAGCAGAAACTGTTGTCCTCCAGACTTGGACATGAGAAGCTTAGCTAAATGAGTTAAGGGAAGCTTATTCCCAAGCTGGAAGTAGCTTGGTTCTCAAAGAAATACTGCATCTGTGTTAGTTGTCTTTGGAATTGGTGTTCTCCCAGCTTAACTGCTCATCCTATTTTCCTTTAGTTTCAAATTAGTCGTGCATCAAGTCCTTGTGAACTCAAGTGTGAGAGTTAGAAGCATCTGAGACTAGATGCAGTGCTTAGACTGGAAGCCTCTTTGGATGGGAGGTGAAGGTACCTGTAAGAAACCCCCCAGGTGTGAACTTTTCTGTAGGATAACTTTCTTACTGCAGCTTTGCAGTAGCATCACAAAAGTCAGCTGGGGGGGATACAAAGAACAAATGTGATAGGGTAGATCTTCAAAACACTTGCACCTCAGTCTAGAAGTGTCTTCCTGTGAGTTAACATTAGAACCATGATGTTACAAATAACAGGACTGTCCAAGTAGGTGTTCTTATCCAGACTATACTGGTAATTATAGATGAGTACTTAAAACCTCCAGCCTCTCAGGTGAAGTTTTAGTACTTCTAAGTAAGTGTGGGTGTCTTTTTGTGGTAGAGGCCTGTTCTTGATATTAAAATGTGATCTATAAATCAGTATCCTGATTTATGCAGTCTGTCAGGGCACTTTCAGAGCACATAGCTGGAGTTTTCCTGAGAGTTGTCTCTTAATTCTCTCTTTACCAGAGAAAGATGTTTTGAACCTGATTTCAGCCCCAAATTCTAAACCTTTTGTGGCTCTTAAATGGTTGTGGAATATAAAACTATACATACTGGAGAAATGTGGTTCTCTTTCTTTTTACTGATAGGATCTTGCTTTCTGAGTCATTCCTTCTACCACCTAATGGTCTGTTCATTGCCTGAACTCTCTGGTTTGCTGGGGACTGTGTGAGGATGTCAAGCAAACAGACTGGGATTTGTGTCATGCTGAGTTTTCTGCACTAATTCCCCTTTGAAGTGCCCTACCCAGGTAACCAAGAGGTCAGGAGGTCTTAAGCTCATCACCAAACCCTTGGCCTATCTGGTGTTTGTTTCCTGGACTCTGCAGCCATATGATATTCATCTGACTTGTGGGGTTCAGTGCTGCAACTTGCAATGCAATTAAGACAGTGAAGCCAATGGTAGTGTAAGGACCTAATGACACTGGAAGGGCTTTGAAATACCAGACATGACTGTAGTTACTGCAGTAAATTGTATTTGTTTAGGAAATCTCCTACTGTCTTCTTGCCTTTCCAGCTGCTTGTGTGAATCATTTCCTCTCATGTAGGTTTCATTTAGCAGCTCTAGGAAGGAAAGGGAGCGGAGAGGCAAAGCAATGGGTGGCAGTGAACTTGTGCTCCCCTTGGATAAATTAGCAAATGTGTCTCTTTCAATAACTGTTCATTTTCTCAAAGCTGAGTTTGTTAGTTTGCTGAAATCCTAATTGAAACACATCAGATTAGAAACTTCACAGCTTTGCTGGGGAGGAGTAGTTCTGTGACACTTGGATCATAGAATATTTACTCCCATCTTTGTTTTATTGGGGTGTGTCTTGATAAAGGGGGGAAAATTAAGAACTACTTTAAGGTAGCCCTGGATCTATATGATTTTTTTAAAACACATTCAGGGATGGTGATTCGACCACACCCCTGGGCAGCCTATTCCAGTACTTAATAGCCCTTTCAAATACTTGAGTAATTTTGAGAGGACCAACAAATAAGTTATTTCAAGTTTGAGAGTTCTTTTCAGTTTCCAAAGCAGGGAAATCAATAGGTCTGGCAAAGAAGAAAACTTCTCCTATCTGTTTAGAAATGCCCTTTATCTAGAGTCCCACAGAGTGGATGCTACTGAGACAAGAGCTGAAAGCAGCTTCATAATGTTTCATGTTGGGGACAGATCA